GCTACAAATGCTCTTTTGCACTTATTCAACCTTGTTTACTTTGGAGTCTTCCCCGCCGTGATGGTATATAATTCCGTTTGGTTCATGTCCGTGGTGCACTCAATCATAGCGGTGCACTCAATCACTCACTAAATAAGGGAACTCGGCTTTTGCAGCAGCCAATTTCTCAAGCGCTAGGCGCCTAGCCTCAGCTGCTACTGGGGAACCTTTTGTTTCGATTACGTGTGTAATACCAAGCGTATTCTTATTGAAACAGAGAATTATATTTTTAAAGTAAATCATTTAATACATATAACGGTTGTAAAATTAATTTTTGGTACAGTATCCCGGGATATTTTGCCATCTGACTCAGCGTCAATCATGCTCAATCAATTTTTCGGATTTCAAATTAATAATAATGTCATAATTACTTAAAATATATCTCAGCCATAGCTGCTAATTTTTTAAGTTCGATATCAGAAGCGACCAGTATGGCTTCCATCTGGGCTAGAAGGTGTTGAAGCCACAAAGATTTTAGTAATTCAGTTCCGACGAGGTGCCTCACTATTTCTTGCCTTTGTTGGAGTAAAACAGATGGTCATTTGTCGTCTAAATCGATGTCTCTCAAAAGTTTAAAAAATTTTTGTTCTTCAGCGTCAGCAAAAACTTCACTTAATCTTTTTTAAGAGTGTCATAAGCATCAGTAACTGGAAGAGGATCAATTATATCACTGTTAAAAATCGCTGACTAAAAATCGCTAATTATATCACCGTTAAAAAGTCAATTTTTTAACAGTTATCCCACTGTTAAAAAATTGACTTTCTATCTGGCGAACCAAATGCTTGGTTTATCTTTCCAAAACGACGGCACTTTAACTGAGATTCTGTTGATTTCAAATGCTTGCGTTGAAACGATAGTATTGTCGTTAACATACATGTTCGAACGATTAAAAACGGGTTCCTCTAAATGCCGTAGTCACCAGTTTGGGGTCTAGGTAACTGCTAAACACCCATTTATAAAAATAAATTCTTTTAATAAATCAAGATATCTACATAGCGTTAGAATAATATTAATTAAATGTGTACACGAACTTTTAAAAACAGAAGGGAAGAGTTCTTTTTCGCAGTCGCGCAGAGATGAAATTCTTATCGCGCACGCGCGAGATAAAATCGAGGCGTTGAACAAATGTGGTTGGGAAAGGAAAAACCCCACAAGTATTAAATCACTGAAAATATATTATAATTTCAACAAGAACTCCTGGATGACCTCAGATATGTTTAAAAAGTGGCTAAAAAATTGAAATGAATACTCGTTTGTACAATGGTGATAGATAATTGCAATGCTTAAGATATCCAAAGATAAGTATGAAAATGTTAAGGTTTCTTCTTACCTCCAAATACTACTGCGAAACTGTAGTTTATGGATCAAGGGGTGATAAAAAGGTGTCAAAATGCATTATCACAACAGAATTTTAAAGAAGACATTAATGAGAATTGACAATCAGCTTTTATGTGTAATTATTTACATAACAGCATATCTGAACTTGCAAAACTATGAAATTATGATGTCACTGAAAAAACTGTTCGCAATTACTTCTTATAACGACACTGAACTTGACACCCCCCCTTTTTTCGCCGCTGCTAATGAGAACCTCACTCTCTTTCATCCGCCTCCAACACTCCTTTCACCCTTCTCTTTCTCCCCCCACCCGATCTTTATCAGAAGCCGAGTAAAAAGATGTTTCTACATCTTGACACTCGAGAATAAAATAGTGTGTGAAAAAAAGGTGGCTTCATCACTAAGATTGATGTTACTGATAATAAATAGTGTGAATGACGGCCGACGATGGGCAGGAGAAATTGAATAATATGTGATTGCAGTTGAAAAATCAAAGGCAATTAAGAAATAAAGAACAAGCAGAAGATTTTTTTATAGATAACTATGCTGCGACCTCAGGAATTTCTACTGAACATGACATACTGCAGAGCATCAAAAATAGCAGCGAGAAAGAGATTGATAATTGTGAACATGAAAATGGAGAACAGAAGCTAGATAATGCAAAAATAATTTTTATGATCGGGAGGCATATAAGCATTCTGTACCGCGCCACGCGCATAGGGAAAATTTCGTACTTGTAATTGGACATACTTTCAGATGATTTCATTTTCTCTGGGTGTAATGACCTTTAGGCGGGGTTCTTACGGTTTTGTTTTCGTTAAATAACACCATGGTTAAATAACGTTAAATAACAAGGAAGCGTGAAAATAAGCGTTTATTTTCTTTGAAACGAAAAAATGTAGCTGCAGCGTCCTGCTGATGGCTTCCTGTTTCATGGAATAATAAAATTATAAAATCTCTCAAAGATGCTCTTAATATCAGAAGCAATCTAAAGTGCTTGGATTACATAAATAGCTGAATGAGTTCAGTGCAAAAAACGAAGCACGACGATCTCGATCCAACTGCAAAGGCATAGTGTGCTAGTGAGTGTATTATTATTATTGCAATTTTGTTGCATTCTGTTTCTTTCACATTGCAGAAAATATTTCTTTTATAAATATTATGTTATTTCCATATTAATGTCCATGTCATTCTAATATATCTGTTGCCTTAAATGAAAGAAAAAAAGTGCATTCATTACTGTGGCTGAATTTAATACACGTGTATAAAAAAAACTTCTTTCTCTGACAAATACTATTTTTTATGCAAAGGTACAAAAAAAAAGTATTTCTATTTCTGTGTTCAAAATCTATATTAGTCTAACTTCAAAAATAAATTTTACTTTTTCAGACTGATTACAAATATTGTGAACCTGCGTAATTTTAGCTGCCAACATTGTTTTAGCTATTTCCGAAAACTAACTTGTCTCTTGCTTTCCCAGATTGCATCAGCAGAGAATGGATATATATAATGAACATGAAATAATTAATTAATAATCACACCTTAATATGAAAGGTTTTAAATTAAGAATACATTTATTAAAAATCTGTGCACTTAATATTAGTACACATTTACAGAGTTAGCACAAGAAGAAATAATACTTTTTCTCTCTAGGGGGAAAAATCACTACATTTTTTATATTAAATTTACCACACTACAGTGATGTAAGAAGTGTAATCTCATAAACGCACATAGTAATCCTTTCGAAACTGCTATCAAAATGTAAACAAACGGTATGTAGGTGTACTCTCGAGCCCAAGCTAAGTCAAGACGTTCCTAAGAGTAGAGGAAATTATGTCATCTGAAGCCATATCTGATAGTATTTGTTTATAAAGCATAATTTTAAGTTTTAATATTTTGGCAACATTGATATTAAATTGTAAAAAGAATGAGTTAAAAATGTATCTGGAAGAGAGAGTTTTTTCATTATTATGGTTTGGTAGAATGTGGTAAGATTTCTTATGTCTGATTTTCTTTTAATAAAGTTTTCTTTTTGTATATTGCCATAATGTATTTTTGTTAGAAGTGGATGATTCTTTTGAGAATGTTATATATATGCCAATCTTAAATAACCAACAATATCTAATCACGAGGAGGGATTTTGCCCTATGTGCGTGGCGCGGTAAAGAATGCTTATATGCGAGCGGGAGATGGAAAATATAAAAATGACTTCGCATGGGTTCGAACCGTTGATCTGACCCTCTACAATACCGAGAGCTAGCCACTGCTGTAATGTTTATACGGAAACAAGTGACGTAAAATTGAAGGCATTTAAAATGAAGAAAGAAATAGTCCTACATTTAAAAGTTGCCCTGGAGAAATATGATATGAAGAATCTATTATATATTTAGTAGACTGAACAGGATGAATAGATGTGTTGTGTAGAGTCTGGAAAAATAATCTTTTGGAAAAATTTCACAGTTTAAGATTTTAGCGCAGTTTGCAGTATGATTTGTTTCGGCATTAAGCAAAAATTTTTGTTTAGCTTATTGAGGTAGTCAATCATCAAGTCTGTATAGATTCTTTCTTTCTTAAAAATCAAAGGGCTCCATTTATAAAATGTAGAAATTTATTTTGAAAAATTAACTTGTTAATTTCCTTCTCCTATCCCATAGCGTCCTTAGTTGCCAATCTTATAATACATTGCCAACAGTGTATAGCAGACGTCAACGAAGCTAACCTATGTTAAAGAGACATGCTACTTGCTAGCTGGTAGGAAAATCAATCGGTAATGTGCGATGAGTCGATGCTTTATTGCTGGTTTTCAGAGATGAACTATCGAGGGTAATCACAAATTCTCTCCTCTACTGCACGAAAAGAAAACTGGCAGCGTGATCTCTTGATCTGGCTGTTATTTTAGATATCTTTACTCCTTCATTCTCTGAATGACTTTCAGTTATTTTTCATTATTTCACAATTTTTTTATAACTTTTGGCTTATATTTTAATAATGACTAAATATTTTATCACAAATAACGTATAATTCTGAAAAATAGAAAATAAAAAATAATTAAAGAAAGTCTTCATAATCTTTTATTTAAAATAGATATGGTAATTAATCTACTAAATATGGTAATTAATCTACTAAATTTAGCATATCGTTTAGTGAGAATAATAGATTAAATAATTCTAAATACAGAATTCATCTATTATTTTATATTGCTATAAATAAAAGCGCAGGGCGTCTAAATAACTAAATCTATTAATTTAATTATGTTGTTAAATGCACAAGTCATTAGTTTTCTAAATTTTCTATTTAGTATTTTATTGCCTTATGTATAAGCTACTATCTTTTTAAATGAATCATGGGTCCCCACGCTTTTATTGTTTACAACCTGAAAATAAATGTCTACGTTTATCTAGATTTAGAAGATTTTTTTCACGTATTTCATAAATTAAACAAAGTATAGAAAAGTTTGATAAGAACAAAAGTAGTTACATATATTCACAAATTAAATTTATTTAATTTTAGTTTTCAAGTTTTGGGAAGGAGGAGGAAAATGATTTTCTAGCAATGGTGAATGGGAAAGGGATGCTTGGAGCAGAAAAAGGTTGAGAACAACCGCACTAGGTATCTGTTTAGATTCTTCGCTGTGTTGATAACGCTTTTCATTTACAGAATACGGTGGGTGTTTCAACTCCTTTTACCTAGGTAGTGGCATCGCTCTCGATGTTTTGGAAATTATTGTCGTCTGCTTTTGTCGGAGCTGCAATTGTTCTCTTTATTTGGGAAATTTGTTGTAATGCTTACTTTTCTTTTCCTTAATATCTTTAAACACTTTTGGAATGATATAACATTGTGAAAACATTACTGTATGTGTAGAATGAAATATTAAAAATAATCTTTCATAATCTATTTATCAAGATAAATTATCTCATTCATGCCGAATGAGTAAACGCATGTCATTTATTTAGCTTTTGCAAGCGATGTTAGAATCATTGCATTAAATTTCTCTAAATTCCGGAAAGATCATACTAGGATATTATTTTCTTTTTCTTTGGTAATAATTGTTGCCATTATATTTATGTAAATTAATTTTACATTTCATTCCTCTTTTATTTAGCCGCAGGGTTTCTCATTTATTTGCGAGGATTCGTTTTTAGCCGAAAATGTCGAAGTACTGCATTACTGCATGGGAAGACAGTTCTTATCACAGGTGGCAATACTGGAATTGGTAAAGAGACTGCTCTTGATCTGGCTGGAAGAGGTATTAAATTATGGAAATTTATATATTAACGCTTTGGTTCTTATGAAAAATTTAACAGTAACGCAGGTTGTGCAATTAATTATTTGCATCAGTATTTTTTTAGGATACGTGAGATGTAGAATACAACTCATGCTTAAATTAGGAATTAAAATAATGTTTTCAAAAAATTACTTTTTCTCTACTGAAATTTTGGAGATCTTAAATATTTAGTGTAGGAATTATATAAATTTCTAAATTGCAAAGCTATAACTTACACTTTTAGAGTATGTTATTTAGTACTTAAGTACTTTTCTGTTAATCCTAAAATTTAGGGGAGACTTCCCAAAACTTGTGCCAATAATTCAAGTAGAAGTTTGAAGGAAGAGTTTTTTTATTTATATGGAGGATCAACAGATGTAAGTTATAGCTATAGCATATAAAGAATTTGCAACATTTATTTTTGGACACTTGTATATTTGGTTGATCTTTACATTATGGTAACTTGGCGTTTTTTTGGCGAAAATTTGGCGACCAACTCTCCTACAGCAACCCTCTATTTTTTTTTCCCGCCGCCATTTTGTCTTCACGAAGTAAAGACATGTTTCTTTTCTTTTTATCTACTGAACACTTCTTCCAACAATCTACTAGCCGAATTACACTTATGCTAGAAATTTTACCTAACAAAACTGCTTAATCATGACAAATATTCACTGCAAAATTGGGAAAAGTGCACAATACCATACTCCCTTACGCGTTTTCAAAATAACACATACACATAAACCATGTACATGCCGACTTATTTTTACTTAAAAAAACATCCCAGAATTGCACAAAAATGGCATTGCTCACACTCTTCACTATATCCATGTACACTGCTTTTTTCTCATAAATTAGAAAAAATTCACGAAAATACATGACAATTTTCTACTACTTAAAATATTTCTACTACTAAAAAAAACACTACTTAAAATATAAATGAGCACATACATTAAATTAATACATACATAAATACCCATTTCGAATTCACTTTAGTTATGGCCATGGGATCCAAAAATTCATGAACACTGTTTCACACAACACAGAATAAAGCCAAATACAAAATTTCCAGATTTTTTCCCGATTTCCCCCCTTTTCCGATTAAAGAACCGTAATTCGTCCATTAATATCACATGACATATCCCATGATCTCTCATTTCCCTCACACAAAATAATGCGTAATCGGAACTGAGTACTGCTCACATTATTACCAAAGTCCCAGGTAGTAACCATTATCGCCTCCAAAATGTCGCCAAACTACCAGTTACCATATTGTAAAGATCAACCGTATATTTTAACTCATTTGCATGGATCACGTCCTAAATATTGGAACACAGACTTGAAATTTTTTTCTGTATTTTAAGCCTAGCTTGTCATAAAATAAATATTGAAATATTTCTTACAATAAAATAATTTGCTCAAAAAATGTTAATTAGTATTTATTATAATAATTTGGGGTAAAAGTATGTTTACGGGTACACCTTGGCAATTTTTGGTGATACATGGATACCGAGTTTGTGCAATTCTTTGGCTTGTTATTTTGGCTTGTGTAGCGGTAATTTTTGCACCAAAAATCGCCGCTACACAAAGCCAAAGTAACAAGACAAAAGAATTGCGCAAACTCGGTATCCATGTACACATCGACCTATTTTCACTGAAAAAAATCATCTTGCACAAACTTGGCATTGCACACTCTCTTGACTTTATCCATGTACACATCAACCTATTTTCACTTAAAAAAAAAAAAAAAAAAAAAAAAAAAAAAAAATCGGAGTCTTGCACAAACTAGACATTGCACATTCCCTTGACTTTGTCCATATACACATGGAACTATGTTCACTTAAAAAGGAGCAGCCAATAAAAAAGTATATAATCTCAAACTTTATTTTAAATTAAACAACGAAATAACATAAAAATGGAAATTCATATTTGCACTACATGAAGGAAATATCCACTTACCTTATTTACGAATTAACATGTCTTCAGTCAAACAAAATTCCTTAACAGCATCAAAAATCTTCCTAAAATTATCAGAACTAGAATCTGTATACTGGCATCGCCACATAAATTCACAAAATAAGAGTCGAAAATATCCGTTCTGAGAAGTGGTCATCTTGCAAAATTATCATTCCGTTCACTATAGAATCACATCTCCCACAGAATTTAATTCTGCCTTGAATATTTTCTCGTGGTACCTTAATTATTTGCACTCCCATTTTACGCCACATGCCAATGAGCCTATTAATCGTAAAATCTTTCCTTTCTGCTTTTTGCTTTAGTGTAAAATCGTGTTTATAAAAAATATAAAATACCAAAAAAATTATAAAAAATCAAAATATAAAAAAAGATTAAAAATAGTAAAAACTTATAAAAATTTTTTATGTGTTCTTAAGTTTTATAAATTCTTGCTATCCCTAACCTTTTTTGAGCCATGTGTTTTGAGCCAAGTTTAATACTTATGCAACTTTCCTATTTCTGCTCACTTTTATTTAATTATGATGAGGAGGTACATGGTTTTGAACCATAGGCACTCCGTAACTTTTAATCATTGGCATTGGCGTAGCGCCATATCGTCCGACCATACGCATTTCCATCCTACAAACAGGACACTTAATAATGGCTACTAAATAAACCTTCATTTAAACACCAGTCAAGTAATGCTGTTTTCCCCTTTCTTTCCAAATTATACAGAAACTTCAAATTAATCTTACGACATTCAGCCATTTTACTGTCTAAACCAGAAAACGAGCAATGTACTTCCTAACCAACACACATGACAAGCCCTTACAAATTCACCGCGATCATGCAACCAATTACATCATAATAGGGTTTCCAATTCCAATTAATTACTCAGGCTACCATAAATAAACTACCACTTGGCAATAAATGAAACAACAACTTTGCGAAAATACAAAGGGTACCCTTCTCCTTGCTCTAATTTAATTTGGACATTTCAAGTTTTTGTTGAGGTATTTTGGTAGAAAATGTTTCTTGTATTTCTTTTCTTTTAAATGGAAATACATCACAAGAATTATCATTGGGACAAAAATCGTCGCTACGCAAGCAAATAACAAGTCAAAGAATTGCACAAACTTGGTATCCATGTACCGCAAAGTTTCGCCAAGGGGTACCCTAAAATATACTTTTACCCAAAAATTAAACTGCTTTAGCAAGAATTAATCAAACTTACATTAAAGGCGAAAATCTTATGAATGTGTTGTGACATCACATTTGTCTTTCATTGATATTAAACCTCACTGTTGGGCAACAGCTTTTGTTTGTCAAAAATGGTGAAAGCAATATTATGCAAGTATCCTATATTTATACTCAAGATTCAGATGAATGCATTATATCTTGTATTAATTGCATAGCAGCCATACAATCTTAAGTGCCGAGGTGCAGATAAATAAGAACGTAGTTGCATTTATTGCCATGAAAAATAATTTTTTTATTCCACATGCAGTAAATGAATTAAGTAATAGATGAGCAATTGTTTGTTTACTACAGAATTTAAAGTTTACTTTAAAATTAAACATTAAAATTATACATTAAAAAAATTAATATTGTATTGTAATTTTTCATATTGAATTTTAATATGTCAAATCAGAAATGGTGTTAACAAATAATAAAATACAGCAGAACTTCAATAAATTGAAGTTTTTAATAAGCCAAGATGAAAACTGTGGTATGGAGTTTTAAGTTAATATTAATGGGCTAAATTTCCTGTCAACCAACTTTTTTCCCTTCAGTTTTATTTTTACCAAAGAAAATTGTTGCATTAATGGATTCTCATAGTAAATGAAACATTTAGATAAGCAGATTCAAAGTTAGGAACTTGTGCCAGATATGTTAAAAACTAATTTTTTCAACTTATGGTGCCTTTTTTTATTTTTTGTCTGATATGTCTTGTGTATTAGATTTTTAGTAAATTTTTGTCTTTCTTCAAATAAATATCTCGAATTCTGAACATCTTTCCTGTAATAACATTTGAAAGCTTTTATATTATCCTGGTCTAAAGGTTAAATGCCAGAAATTGCATTTACAGGAAGAGACACTGTTGTTTTTCAGAAAGAGAAAGAAGTGTATATGATGCAGAGTTATCTAATTTTTAATTCAGCTATTGTTTCATTTTTTAATTTGCTGTTCCAGAAGTCAAAAGAAAATCTATAAAATCAATAAAAATATTACTTGTCATTCATAAATTCTTGTTGCTGTGGTAAGTTAGATGTAAAATTCTTGACTACTTTCAAACATGTAGGTTCTGCTTTTTCATTAGCCAGTGCTGTCTTTTTAATTGTTGGGTCCATATTATGTATTAATAACACAATAACTCATTCCTTCAGTTTAGTAAATAATTTGCTGGTTTACATTTAAGTATGAATAAGTATTCTATTAATGTTCTGTAAAACAGGCCAGTTTCATCTGTATTGTAAGTTTCGCCTTATGTTCATTTAGCAGCCCAGATAAAACAACTTTTATTCGGTTAGCAGCTGCAAAATGATCTACATTTTCTTTCCTTCACCCAGTATGTTCAGTCGCATGGCATTGGAATGTGCAACACCAGTTACCTGCGTTTGTAGTTATAACAAAACAAATTCTGTCACGGAATTGCAGTATGTGTATCGACGACAGTCAGTATTGGTCATGCTAATATGGTACTTGGCACATTAAAAGCACACATGAAGACATGCTAATATTATTATATTCTGTATTTAAAGGACATATTATTTTCAATATATTCTTCTTACTCAGACAAATACTTTTCCATTTTTGCATACAATTTAATTATTACCATATATTCAAAATTTCTAAATTATATGCTGAAAAACTAAGGGGGAAATTATGTGTGTGTGGGGGGGGATCGGTGAGTAAATATGCTAGTTTGTTAGAAGTAACCGTAAATTTCTTAAAATGTGAATAGTTTAAAATTTACGGAAATATTTCATTGTTGCAGAACATTTTGCACTCTTTAAACAAAAGAATTGAAATAACAGTATGAATGTGTCAATATTCCATGTAAATTCTGTAGATTTAGCAATCAGTATGTAATATTTGGGTGTTTAATACAGTTCATCGTTTCACATCACTCTGTTGAAAATACCAGTCTAGAAACGTCCAGCACATGACCTCCATTTAAAATTCTTAAACTATTCATATTTGAGGTACATGTGTGGCCCTAGATAATTATTTCTGGTATGTAAAAATAAAGATATATCAGAGGTCCTTATCTTAAGGACCTCTTAAGTCAGTGGCCATATCAGTAATTTTGGGTACAAATCTCGTGTAGATGTTTATAACTGTGTAGTACTTTTGTTGCATGGGGATACTTCAAATTCATTCAGCTAAAAGTTTTCCTGAGAGACTGAAATAGGTTCAGAATCCTTGGATTTCATGTCTCAGGTTATTGATTTAAATGGGGTTTGGCATTGGGCAAAATCATTTCATAGCTGTAGATGCCCAGATCTTTTACAAGTAACTAGTGTATCCTTTGATTCTATCCATGATTATTTATAATATCATTTTAGTGGCTATTTGCCTAGACATTTAGAGGTTATAAGCACAAAAAAAAAAAAAAATAATAATACTTCATAACATCATAACATAGCAGGAAAATATTGATAATATAATAAAATTTATATAATATAAAATGTGAAATTGGCTTACCGAATTACACTGTCATGCAGTGTGTTGCTGATTAATATTTCACAATAATGATATCTTTTTATAATTTCTACTGTCAAATTTTTTCCCTTACTTAAATACATTTAGATGTTTAAAATATGATTAAAACTTCTCATTAAAATTTTTGTTAGAAGTTTTTGCTTCAAGTTTTTAACATTTCCTGTGTCAAATCTTATATCAAATTTATACTTACAGGTGCTAAAGTTATAATTGCATGTAGGGATGTAGAAAAGGGAAATGATGCAGTTGAAGAAATACAACAAAAAGTGCCTGATGCAAACATAATTGTAAAACATTTAGATCTTGCATCATTGAGATCTATTCGAAAATTTGCAGAGGACATATTACATAGTGAACCATTTATTCATATTCTTATAAATAATGCAGGTAAATAAACTTTTTCTTTATAACTTTTTCTTTCAGTATTCTATTAATGTTCTGTAAAACAGGCCAGTTTCATCTGTATTGTAAGTTTCGCCTTATGTTCATTTAGCAGCCCAGATAAAACAACTTTTATTCGGTTAGCAGCTGCAAAATGATCTACATTTTCTTTCCTTCACCCAGTATGTCAGTCGCAATGGAGCATTGGAATGTGCAACACCATGTTACCTGCGTTTGTAGTTATAACAAAACAAATTCTGTCACGGAATTGCAGTATGTGTATCGACGACAGTTCAGTATTGGTCATGCTAATATGGTACTTGGCACATTAAAAGCACACATGAAGACATGCTAATATTATTATATTCTGTATTTTAAAGGACATATTAGTTTCAATAATATTCTTCTTACTCAGACAAAATACTTTCCTATTTTTGCATACAATTTACATTATTACCATATATTCAAAATTTCTAAATTATATGCTGAAAAACTAAGGGGGAAATTACGTGTGTGTGTGTGGGGGGGGAAATCGGTGAGTAAATATGCTAGTTTGTTAGAAGTAACCGTAAATTTCTTAAAATGTGAATAGTTTAAAATTTAGGGAAATATTTCATTGTTGCAGAACATTTTGCACTCTTTAAACAAAAGAATTGAAATAACAGTATGAATGTGTCAATATTCCATGTAAATTCTGTAGATTTAGCAATCAGTATGTAATATTTGGGTGTTTAATACAGTTCATCGTTTCACATCACTCTGTTGAAAATACCAGTCTAGAAACGTCTGTATTTTTTAATCAAACTTAAAGAGCTTTAATTATATGATTATTATGTATCATATATTTATTTGAATACAAAAGGGGTCTTTAAACCAGGAGACTATGTATATATATTATTATTGTTCATATTGCTGAAGTTTTTTTTTTTTTTTTTTTTTTTTTTTTTTTCGTGTGTGTGTGTGTGTGTGTTAGAGAGAGAAATATATTTAATGGATAATAACCATGAGTGTTTAGAGACTGATTTTTATTTAAAGTGTCTTTAAGTAAAACAGCTTGGTCATGTGATTTGTGCTGGGTTTTTAATAGAAAGTGGATTAATTTTTACTTTTTTTATAATCTTAATCAATGCTGAACCAATGAATTTAATTTGCCATGAGTTAGTATCAGTTTTAAAAGAATGGAATATAAAACAACACTATGAAGTAAAACGTGCATCCAGTTTTGTCTATACGAAGTTACTTTAAGGACAGTTTTGAGTGGATAAAGTGAACTATCTATAAAATGATTTAAAGTGCCATCAAGACTAATCAGTGTATAATGAGAAAATTAAGTATGCATCAATGTTTCAAAAATCAAAAGCAATCATAGAGGATGAGTTTGTAAAAGAGGGCCTTATCACTTCTAATAAAATTATGGAATGGAATGATAAAGAACTGGTAAAAAAAACTAAGTTTTCTCGGAGGTAAAGTTGCATGTGTTAAACAACTTGCCACTGAGTTGCCATTCTTTATCCGTGGCATTAGCCATCAATTCTCAAGACAAAGAACTGCTGGCATTCATGTCTGTAAAGAGAATAACAAAAGGCAATGATATGATTTATGTATACGGAGATGAGAATTATATTTTACTCCAAAATGGTTGCATAATGTATGAGTTCCACAGCTAAAAGTATGTCATTACATGAAATGGAATAATCAATATATGCAAAAGAATGAAAGATATTCATACACGTAAACTTAATGCAGGTGACTAAATGAGACCAATAAACATCTAAGTGATAGTTGCAGTGGCTGTAGAATTTTTAGTAATGAAGTTATATATATATATATATATATATATATATATATATATAGGCTGTGCAGTATATTTTCTCTGTATGATGCAAGTCTTCAAAATCCCACCTCTTAAAAAAATTGCACAAAATGTGTGAATACTATTTTTATTTTGAAAATATAAACTACTTTAAAATAATATCAACTACAATTGCAGATCATTTGCATTTATATCTGATGCATTTTTGAACGAATTTATTGACTGGAGACTGGTACAGTAATTTTCTAGTACAGTCAAAAGTCGTTAATTCGGACACCCATAATCCGGACCTCAAAGCTACAAACTTTCTGCGCATGCGTCGCGTTCACGCATGCGCACACGCATTTACGTGAGACCTTTACGGCTGCGAATATGTTTGTGCGCATGCGCGTTTAATGTGTAACAGAGTTATACGCTAAGCTAAAATTATCTAATTCAGTTAATGTTGCAGATTGCGTTGTTCCTTAATCTTCAAATTGGATCCGGCTTATTATTTTTTGCAGAATGTTAGAGCAATTTCATAAAAGTAAGCTTGAACTTTCGATTATGTCAAATAGAATTTCCGATATATATTTACTAATATGTAATTTGTATCTACAAAGCGAAAGTATGTTTTGAAATCCGAAATCTGTTTATCAATTTCACGCTGCGGATTGGAAGTTGATCTGTCAGCACTATCCTTATCTTCAGGGCAGATGTTTTTATTTTATTTGGCTTATAATTCCTTACTAAGTGTAGTATTTCATCTCGATGTACTCCATCTTTGATATGATTTAAATCAAGTTCCTCCTCGTCATTATAATTCGCTTCCAATAGAGAAGAAAGTGACCCAGAGGTTATTGAAAACGAAAACATTTCGATTGACAAATTACTCGGTATTCTCAACACAGCAATTATAGGACTTGAACAGCGGAACTTTGTAACTAACAAGAAATTATGTCTATTTAATAGAATTAAATAGAAAGTATTAGCACATGAAATGAAGCAACTTACATTGAAGGAAATGTTTAATAAAGTAAACAAATAAATATTAAGCTTTTTCTTTTTGTAAATTTTGATACCCTTTAGATCATAATTGTTCTTTATTTCATAAATTACTTTTTCAAATTTTGAATTTTGTAATTTCTGCATGCCATCTTACCAGATTTAAACTGATGATCTATAATCCGGAAAAATCGATAATCCGGAATCGCCGAAGTCCCAACGAGTCCGGATTAACGACTTTTGACTGTATTTTGTCATCTGTATCCTTGAGTTTTAAAATGTCATATAAAAACTAAACATTTTTGCTGTGATTTTGCTGCAAAAAATGGATAAAGGCATATCCTTTGTTTATCTTTAACGCCGTGGCACGCAATGAATTGGAAGTTGATCTGTCAGCACAATCCTTATCTTCAGAGCAGATGTTTTTATTTTATTTCGCTTATAATTCCTTACTAAATGTAGTATTTCATCTCGATGTACTCCGTCTTTGATATGATTTAAATCAAATTCCTCGTCATTATAATTCGCTTCCGATAGCGAAGAAAGTAACAGAAGTTATTGAAAAACAAAAAAATTTCGATTGACAAATTAGTCGGTATTCTCGACACTGCAATTATAGGATTTGAACAGCGGAACTTTGTAACTGAACAAGAAATTATGTCTGTTTATAGAATTAAAGAGAATGTATTATCACATAAAAAACGAAGCAAGTTAAACAACTTGCATTGAAAGAAATGTTTAATAAAGTATACAAATAAATATTAAGCTTTTTTTTTTTTTTTGTAAATTTTGATACCCTTTAGATCATAATTGTTCTTTATTTCATAAATTACGGTTTCATATTTTTAATTTTATAATTTCTGCATGCCATATTACCAGATTTAAACTGATGATCTATAATCCAGAAAAATCTATAATCCGAAATCGCCGAAGTCCCGATGAGTCCGGATTAACGACTTTTGACTGTATCAGATATTTTCACTTTACAAACACATAGAGATTAATGAAGCTATTTACATATATGGTTTAACATAATCATCAAATGATCCTTACATCTTAATGATGAATGACATTCAGTATTGCTGTAAATTAAACGCTGTTAACTTAAAACAATAATTTCCCCAATCACACTTTTCCAAACAAAACTAGGTTACCTGACAAACCTAGTTTCCAAACAAAACTGAGTCTTAGATCAAACAAATTGCAAAACAAAGGATTAAATAATACCAAACAGGAAATGCTAAACTTAGTAGAAGTGGCAATAATGGACTTTATGTCATTTTAACTCAAAACTTAACTTTTCCAGTGTGTCACTAGTTCTATCAAATTTTCTCTGATTAAATCACCAATTGTACCCCCCCCCAAAAAAAGAAAAGAAACTGAAATTTATATTTATTTTGAACTGAGTTAAAAGCAACAACTCTTATTTTTTAATGAGAACTGCTTAATATAATTAACATTTGGAGTGCAATCAGCTGTTAATGAAAAATATTTAGATATTCTTTAGCACATAAAAAATATTGACATTTATTTTGACAATTTGCTCGTAAATTTCATTTTGCATCAAATTTGTCAATTTATTTTGTATACTATTGCTTATAATAGTCACAGACCATTTATCAGACTTGAGCCGAACTCTCCTGATACATTTTTCCATAAGTAGATTAAACTCAGAAAGCGATACTGTGAACTTAAGGAAGTTTCCCTTTTTAGGCTGAAACACATGTTCAGTTATTCCACGAAAATCTAAGCATTGTGAGGCCAACAGTCTAATTACTAACATAATTCTTTTTATTAAAACTCCTCTCTATCACTGAATTTTCATATCCATAATTTGTTTATGTTCAGTATTAATTGGTTTTCTGCTTTAATTAAGTGTCTATTTCTTTCTGTGCAGTAAAAGCACTTCTGTGGTGCTGTGCACAGTGTCAGTTCAAAATGTGTAAAACAACTAATCAGCCCATTGACTGTGAAATACAATCAGCTATTTGATTTTTGACAGCAAGAAACATTTCAGCAGCCGAAATTCATCGACATAAGTGATGTGTATGACACCAATCAGTGTTGATACTTGATACTCAGCCATCCACGTGAAAATTAAAATTGGCCACCCTTTTTACAAACCGTATGCTTTAAATTTTTACACTTAATAATCGTTTCACTATCCTTAAATTTGGCCATCCACGTGCTGTGCACCATCTCCCCCCCTGGCCCATGCCACAGTGCCATGAGTGACAGCAAAGTGCATAAGTGAGTGAAAGCTTTCAAGGACAGACATGGAAAATGTCCATGATGAACCACGATCAGGCTAACCATCAGTGATCACAGATTTGGTCAATGCCATGGATGAAAAGATTTGTGATTGGTGATTCACAGTTTCACCTTTAGCATTGGAATTTCTGAGAGTGGTTAGAAGAACTTTGCACAAAATTGTCTCCGAAGAGTTGCAATTTCACAAATTGTGCACATGTTGGGTTTCCAGGCTGCTGTTTTTGAGGAACACCAAATGGAAAAAATAGCTTGTGCTCTTGATTTTTTGGACTGATATCATAAGGAAGATGATAAATTTTTAATGAGGATTGTCACAAGATATGAGATACGGGTTTCTCACATGATCCTAGAGCTTAAACATCAGTCGATAGAATGGCATCACACAGCATCACCAGTCAGAGTGAAGTTCAAGTAGATAATCTCAACACACAAAGTTATGGCAACCATGTTTTGGGATAGGCATGGAGTCTTATTAGTTGAGTTTATGCAACAAGAAACATCAATAAAAATGTAGGCGCTTATCACATTACCCTGACTAAATTTAGATGTGCTATATAGAATAAATTATGTGGCCTTCTGACATCTGGAGTTTCTTTGCTGCATGATAATGCCAGACACCACTCTGCCATTCACATCCAAAATCTGATCAGATATTTTGATGAAAATAGATTTACCACCCGCTGTAGAGTCCATACTTAGTGCCAAGTGATTTTTACTTGTTCCACTATCTAAAGAAGTTTCTCAGTGGCAAGCACTTTGCCACAGATGGCAAGGTGAAAGAAGCAGTTTAAGACAGCAGACATGTTTGACTTGGGCATACAAAAGCTTGTAGAACGCTACGACAAATGCTTAAACAAATGTGGAAACTATGTAGCAAAATAGGAAAAGATGTAAGGAATGAAATGAAAGTTTTTTTTTTTAACAAAATCTGCGATGGTTTATGTTTTATAAGAAACCAGACCTTACTTTCTGAATAACCTACGTAATAATAAAAAAAAAGAGTATGAATGATGCAAAGCAATAAATATGCTGGGGTGTTGAAATGAAACAATGGATGTTCTAGTATTAAAACTAATTTTCGCTCTTTATGTATAATACCATCTGAATTTTTAAATTTAAAATAGTGTATTAAAAATGGTAATTTTTCAGTAAATGAGAAATGTTTGGTAATTATAAGTAGTTATAATATTTTTTCATGTATTTCCTATTCTAGGTATTGCTGGATGTCCAAAATCAAAAACAGAAGATGGATTTGAAATGCAGTTTGGAGTTAATCATCTTGGACATTTTTTGCTCACTAATTTACTATTAGAACGGATTAAAGTTTCATCTCCAGCAAGGATTGTGAATGTATCTTCTTTGGCTCATATATGTATGCATTTTCATCTGAAAATTCAAAAACTAAAATTATTATGCTTTCAGAACCCTCATTTTCTTTTGTGTCATCTGTAACTAAACAGTCTCAGCTAACTAAATGGCTGCTTTAACTAATTGAAGTGATTGTGTAATTGATATTCTTTAACTAAACAAAATTCTCCATTTAATTAAAGACTGAGACCTAATACCTAAAGTAGAAAAATTTGCAAATATAACAATTATCTTAGATCAAGGCAGTTATGATTAACCATAGGTTTAAATGCACAAAATATAGAGATTTATTACTTGTTTCATTAAAGATTTTGCATTATTGGCACTAGTCATTTCATATTTAATATTGCCGAAACTGGTTAAAATGAACATTGGTATCACAAAATCATGGATGTAATGCTGAAACACCGTAATAATTTTAATTTTCACATATTTTCATATAAATTTAGCTGACCATTAAAATTAGCTGTATTAAACATGGCTATAGCAAAAATAATTGCAATAAGAGTTTTTGATGAGCTGGCGTTTATTACAACCAAATTTCACTATATGTTCAGTGTTCAGAAAAGGTAACAATAGATTTGATTCCTTAAATTTTGATTTCAGATATACATTTAAAATTATAAGGTTTCTTAAAATAAGGTTACTATTTTATGGAAGCAAATCTGGACATTATGGGTATGAAAGGTTGTCTAAATGAAGGTGTAAGCTTTTAATATTTTATCATAAAGTACGAAGTTCAGTAACTAAAATATTCATTATACTTTAATTAGATAAAATAAAAAACATTTCATATCTTATGTGAAAATCTGCAGATATTAAAAAAAAAAAAGTTTACTTTAGTAATTTTTGGTCCAAAGGGGCAATTTGCCCTGAAAGACTATTATTTTCATTTTGGCATTTTGCATTGGTTCACTATAAATGTCTGATTCAGTTTTCAAATTGTTGCCCCCAAATATTACCGCCCTGTATTATATATTTAAAGAAATTAAATAATGAAGAATCTGCATAAATGTATGTATGTTTCTCACATTGTGATAAAATAACGGTACTTAGAGCCATCCAATTTTGAATAACGTACGTTTCCACCCGAATATGGGCATCTGGAAGACCAAATTTGGAATTTGTTTTATTATCTATTTCATATTTCGTAAAATTTTGATGAACTTTTGATTAACAAACTCAACAGTTTAAAAGCAGCAATGGCAACACTCTACGGGAGGAGGGGGGATATTTTTATTTCATCTCCAACGTGTGGAACTGTGTATCAGAAAATTTAAAGGTATGCTCATTTTAAAATTATTTTGCAATATTGCTGTTGAACGGAATTTTATAGTTTTAATATATTTAATAAATAAAGGAACACACAAAACTTTAAAAAACATCCCTTTGGACATAATTTAAAATATGAAACCTTTCAGATTTTTTTTTATATCTATTGCTATTTTAAATTTAAAACTTTTGACATTAAATTTAGAAAATAGCTATAAGCAGAAACTGCACATTTTGGTGAATAATGATGCTATATTAGGTGTTGTAGTGTTCAGCATTAAATATGTAACAAACTGATTTGTTTTTATAGGAATATTTATCAAACATATCCTTATGATTAAGACACAATAACACGCCGAATAAATACTAATTCAGAAGACGAACAACAAAAATCAGCGTTATATTTACAAAATTTTTTATTACAAAATTTGTAAATATAACGCTGATTTTTGTTGTTTGTCTTCTGAATTAATATCCTTATGAATTTACATACAAAGGTACAGGTTTTTTAAGAAGCAAAACATTTACTTTTTACTGTAAAGGGATCACATTAAAAATTGATTTCAATTTTATATAACTCTTTGCCAAAACAGCCTGAGTATTAATTATTTCCATAAAATCTAGCATTTTTTAACCACACTGCCTGTGACCATGAGCACAAACACACATGCACAATTCAGACCGATTTATAAATGAAATAGAGTGGATGGAACATAAATCATATAGAGATTTTTCTATTCTTATTTTTACTGCATTCAAAGAGCACACATTTAAAAAGGCAGTAAATTACTTTTAAGTAATCTAAAATAATATGCTTATCATGATTTGCAATTAACTGTTTGATTACAACATTTAACTGCTAATTTTTGCATTTATGCACATATTTATATGCTGTTGTAAATATGAGTGTTTTCAAAGCTCAATTTTGCTACATATACATAATTTTAGAATAAAATGTAATAAATAACTATTATTGTATAATAATAATTATTATATTATATTGTGTAATTTTCATTGCAATGAATTCTAACATAATAATTATTATAATTTTACCATAATAATTATTATAATAGTATAATTAATAATTATTGTGTGTCTTTTTTTATCTTTGAACTAAAATACAGTACAACTTGCTTATAATGAGCTCTGATTTAATGAGAAAATCGAAAACAATTGGTTTTGTACAATGTTAAGTCTTTGGAAGCATAACTCACTTTTAATGAGCAAACCCCAGTTATAGTGAGCAATAGTTTTGTAATTCATAAAATTTCTATTGAGTTCCAGCTCAGGTAATCCTTTCTTGGAAAAATTTCTTTGACATTCCATAATCAACCAAAAATTAGTGATGGGTCATAAATCCTGCACATACGTGAAGGCGGCCTTTTTTTATCTTGGGGAGTGATCATGATTGAATTTTTATGACCGAATTCTACAAGTGCTATCCAGCCTACATAGACCAAAGGATCATCAGAAGTTTTAAACCAAACTTTTAAGCAATTGTTGATTTTGATGCTTCTCAGTGGAAGAGAAAAAGTAAGAACAACCTTAAGTGCTAATGTAAACGTACTCGAAGTGATATGTTTAATGATATGTTTATTCATGGGAAAACACTACATCAACATGCTTTACCAATTGCTTCCAAAGCTGGATTACCAGTTGCAATCAAGGGCTGGATTGAATGTTTTTCAAGAGGGGCGAATCACTGAGAAAGAAGAAGAAATAGACTGTAGCTATTTTGGAAAAAGAAGAATTTAAAAATTATATATCTGTTGATGCCAATGTTATAATTTCCGAGATACTTACTCCTGAGGATACTGTTGCTGGAATCCAAGCTAAAACAGAAGAAACAGATGTGGTGATGATAATGGTGATTGAGAAAAATTTCAAGCCGAGCTGTTACCAATATACTCAATGGCTTTTGAGGGTGCAGAAAAACTTCAAACTTTTTTCAAAGCCAGAGGGGCCAAATGAAGATATTTTTCGGGCCATGAGTCTTCTCTGAAGAACAATAACACAAGAAAGAGACAATAAGGCGATCCATATTAACCAGCTTCATTTGTACTGTACAGAAATAAAAAAAATAAATGAAGTATTTATAGTATAGTAAGTATGTATGAATTTTTAATCCCCCCACCAATCCATTTTTTTACGAGCACTGTTATAATGAGCACATGTTGCAGTCCCTTTATGCTTGTTATAAGCGAGTTCGACTGTATATGTACATTAAATAGACTCTGAAAAAAAGAAATTTCTTAATAATTAGTTATAATAATTATATGATAAATGATTATAATAGTTATTTAATAAATTTATTATTATTTTTTTAATGGTCAGGCATTATATGTCTCACGCATGTATATCTGTGTGTTTGAAATATGTCTATATGAACTACTATATGTTTAAGCATTTTGATGTGGTTGAACCTATGTCACAGTTGTTCTATATGGCATTTTTTTCCTAGAACAGATCTGTCTCGTCTGTATTAAACATTTGCTCTGGGATTATAAGAAATTTCTTTGGTTATTTTATACTATAGCTCTTTAGTGTGTTCTTTAGCTGCCTTCTAATCAACTGAGGCTATTTCTCCTTTTTAAAAATTTGTGCCTTGTTTAAAATAATGTAAGGAAAATATAACTTTCTTGAACCATTCTTAGCTTTCTAAAAATTTTGTTGTTTGATTTGAAGTTGATGGTTGCTTTAAATGCTGTTAAAAATTTAAATTACCTTACAGCACTACAATCTATAGACTTTTCTTCTGGACATCATCAACTATCTAAGTAATTAATGGTTTTTCCATTAACATTATATTTGTAATTCTGATATAAGAAGTGCAATTTAAACTTATAGAAGATTCAGCAAAGCTCGCTCTGATTTCTTCTTCTTCCTTTTTTTAAATATAATTGTAACCGTCGCTTCATTAATTGAAAATGTTTTGCAACCAAAGATCAAGCTTCTTCTGTCTTTAATCTAACATTTTAATCTTTGTTTCCAAAATAATTATTTTTCTCTTCAAATCTTGTTTCTTAGGGGCCATTATAAAGACTAAAATGATGCAAACACTTAATTATAATTACACAAGAATGAGAGAAGAATGTATGAGAACAGAAATTCATATTGTTTTATGTTTATATAATTAATGGAAGAATTATTTATCTATGCTGTTAAATCTAGAAATGTACTTAGGCTGTGTGCATATCTAAGCTGTGACTATAGAGTACGGCATTGTGGTATGTTCTTAATGTGAGGTGATGATGCCACTTGTTATGTATAACGAGTGACATCATCACTTTGTATATATGCTGTATGTATACATATTTCAATGCTATACTCTATGTTCACGGTTTAAGATTGCTTAGTATGGAAACAAAGCCAAATTTTTTAGTTCTGCATAATTTTGAATTTTCTTGCACTTTCACATTTACAACTACAATGTGCCACAACAGCCTGGTTGTATGGACATTTTCGTGGCTTTTCTCATTGCAACATATATGCCAGCTGGTTTCCCTTAGAAAGTTCTTCACAAAGGCATCCCTTCTTTTAGGCAGATAACCCTGCTTTCCCGTAACTTAATCCATTTCATCAGTATTTGTTCAGAGTCTTTATCAGTCTTTAGAGGCTAAGCATTTTGAAGGCATGAGATGAAAGGAACACATCTTCTTTTATTTCCTTTTTATCAGGTTTTTTGTTTTTAGCCTCATTTTTAAAGTTCTTCTAAGAATTATCTCTTCTTATAATACCTATTTGGTGGTTGTAATAGTATTAAAAAATAAAAATAGTAATAATATAATGTTTGTATTTGTCTGACCTGACCATGTTAAAGTGAAATTCAAGGTCACGTAAATGGAAGTTCTTCCATTCTTCAACTGCGTTATATCAAAATTGTGCAGATCGAATGCTGTATAGATTGAGGGTTATCAGTAATTTTCTTACAGTATATCAGTAAAGGTTAAATGTACTTTTCTGTTATGGAAACCTTCTAAAAATATTACATTATGTATTTCTGTACAGTAATTTATTCCCAAATGAAATATTTTAACATTAATTCTACACTGTGCATTGAGTAGGTCTTAAATATGTTTACTATTTTATATTAGAATGTTAAAATGTATATATTTGTATATCTTGCTTACAAGTAATGATATCCTTCCTCTTCTTTGTGAATTTTCCGCAATAATAAGTGTTTTTTAAAATATGTTGTCAATTTCTTTTCTGGTAAAAATACATCTAGTCTCATTTTTTTCAGTTGGCAAGATCAATTTTAATGATATAAACTTGGATCACGGATACCATCCGCTACTTGCTTATGCTAGAAGCAAACTTGCTAATATACTTTTTACAAGAGAGTTAGCCAAAAGACTGAAAGGTAATTATCATTTTTATGAATAGTTACAGATTGAACTGCTTCAGAATTGAGTTTTATTTTGTTTATTTAAATGATGCAAAATATTTTAAGTCTCTTTTCCTTTCATTAACTGCAATAATGTAGATACATATGTTTCATTAACTACAATAATGTTTCTGGGATGAAATGTTTTATGTTTCATCACAAAAATTAATCAGAAGTTGTTTTATAGTAAATAACCTCATTTTCTTCTTTGTTTTATTTATTGCATATAATGAAATATGTATGTGACTTCACTTGACAATAATTTATTTTCATGTTATTTCAGTTCAAGCTATTTTGATACATATGTAAATATTTCAAGCTTTGCATGGGTATAGCTTGAAAGTACTGCTGAAGTAAAAGAATTTTACAGAATAAATATTTACTAATAATACGCATTCATTTTCTTCAATCTTCATAATGTAATCCAAATTATCTTACTAGGATAGTGGTATAAAATAGAAACTAGCCCTCAAAATTCAGGATATCACTTTAGATTTTTTTAAGCCTCAATTTGTGTTTCTAGGGTCCATAAGTTACAATTCATACAAAATTTTAACACAGTTTAAATTCTTTTATATACCACCCTTGAAAGGGTTGAAGGAGAAATACAGTCAAAAGTCGTTAATCTGGACTCGTCGGGACTTCGGTGATTCCGGATTATACATCATCAGTTTAAATCTGGTAAGATGGAATGCAAAAATTACAAAATTAAAAATATGAAACCGTAATTTATGAAATAAAGAACAATTATGATCTAAAGGATATCAAAATTTACAAAAAGAAAAAGCTTAATATTTATTTGTTTACTTTATTAAACATTTCCTTCAATGTAAGTTGCTTCATTTCATGTGCTAATACTTTCTCTTTAATTCTATTAAATAGACATAATTTCTTGTTAGTTACAAAGTTCCACTGTTCAAGTCCTATAATTGCTGTGTTGAGAATACCGACTAATTTGTCAATCGAAATGTTTTCGTTTTCAATAACCTCTGGGTCACTTTCTTCACTATTGGAAGCGAATTATAATGACGAGGAATTTGATTTAAATCATATCAAAGACGAAGTACATTGAGATGAAATACTACATTTAGTAAGGAATTGTAAGCCAAATAAAAAGAAAAAACATCTGCCCTGAAGATAAGTAGAAGGATGTGACAGACAACTTCCAATTCATTGCGCGCCGCGGCGTCCCCCCCCCCTGCCGAGCAGCGTGAAATTGATAAACAGATTTTGGAATGATTAGAGAAACAAAGGATATGCCTTTATCCATCTTTTGCAGCAATTCCACTTTTTGTTTAAGGGACTTCAAAACATACTTTTGCTTAGATCCTTTACATATTAGTAAATATATATCGGAAATTCTATTTGACATAATCGAAAGTGCAAGCTTACTTTTATAAAATTGCTCTAACAGTCTGCAAAAAAATAATAAGCCGGATCCAATTCGAAGATTAAGGAACAACGCAATCTGCAACATTAACTGAACTAGATAATTTTAGCTTAGCTTATATCCCGTCTGTTATACATTAAACGCGCTAGCATAAACGTATTATGCACATGCGCCCACGCATATTCACAGCCACAAAGGTCTTACGCGCATGCGTCAACGCGATGTATGCGCAGAAAGTTTCTAGCTTTGAGGTCCGGATTATGAGTGTCCGAATTAACGACTTTTGACTGTACTTAATGAGCATAATTTTTTATAGATTAATGAAAATCAGATATTTAATTGCATCACTCAACGTATGAAAATTTAATTTTAGGAACTGGCATCAATACATATTGTTTACATCCTGGAGTTGTTCATACAGGATTAGGTCGCCACTTAGGGCATTCCATAAGTAGAATCATTGGTGTAATTTATCAAGGATGCAGCAGAATGTTTTTCCTTAGTCCATATAAAGGAGCACAGACAACAATTTATTGTGCTGTTGAAGAATCCTTAGCCTATGATTCAGGCTACTATTATAGGTAAGATATTAAATCATTTGTAGGCAGTTATCTCTCATTCCATGCAATATTTCACTTTTTTGTTTAACGAAAAAAGCCTGTGAAGAATTTTCATTCATAAGAACAAAGATGAAAAGTGAAAGTGTGGTTCATTGTTTGAGTTCTGCTGCGATTGCAGAAAAATATAACTGAATAGCATAAAGCAGCATTTCCTAAACTTTTTTGTGGTGGAGGCCACTTTTATAAATTATAATGTTCTACAAACAACGTTTTTCTTGTTCCCTTCAAAAGCAGTTTTCAGTATATATTACTACCAGTATGTTTATATTTTAAAAATACAGTAATTTGAATTTCATTTAACTTTTTATCGATATTAAATAGTTAAGTTAATATTATAAAACTCATATTCATTTTTAATAATTCAGGGGTATTAGAAATTTTATCTTACTGCTTGAAAATTAAATAAACATTGATACTCACATTAACGAAGTGGACGAGCATGCCGATTCTGTTCTGTGTTTGGATGTATGCTAGTAAGCTCAAACCTGAGATCAGCAAATACATCAAGTGAATTTCAGTACTTGTTTTTATTTGAGTTGGTAATGAAAACCTATTCACAGACAAAAACATAGAAGCAAACTGAATTATAATTTTTAAAGCACAGTTGTACAGTTCACTGCATTCCATTTTCAGTAGTAAATTGAGTGTTATAAATTAATAAAGATCAGATATTTATTCACATCTCTCAATAATGACAATTTTGTATGAGGTATTTCGGACTTTCAGGCCAAACAGCCTCAAATAGCATTGTTGATGCCCAGTGACAGATGTGCAGCTAAATGATGACAAGAAGTACTACAGTTACAGTGCTTTAAATCCCTCTTTTTAGCTAAGATTAGAATGGGAAGTTCATAGGGAGGGTAACTGCTAATAAATTTCACAAAATATCTGTTTGGGGAGAAAAAGTGAATGTGTAATTTCCAAACACTGAGATTTTCAGTTATAATGGGGCATATGCAGTTGAATTTTATTTTTTGTCCTTTTTGGAAATCTGGGAAGGCCACTAAGCTTTGAGGACCACATTTTGTAAATGCTAGTATAGAGAATTAAGGCAGTTTCTCAGAAGGTTTTGATTATCTGCAAAGAACTGTACAAAAGGAAAAGTGTGTAAGTCTTAGCAATCAAGCATATTTCTTATTTTCCAGCCTTTCACATTACTCAAAGTGTACAAGAAACCTCAAATTTCGATATTTGGCTTGGCATGCAAGAAACTGCAAATGTAGAGAGACCTGATGATAAGATATTAATATAGGATCTTCATCAGTACCGGCAGAGCTGGATTAACCATTAAGCAAAATAAGCACATGCTTAAGGGCATCAAGAAAACAGGGCACCCTAAAAAATTTCCATTGCCAATTTACTAAGGAATGGTAGAGCTAAGCCAAGACTGAGAAAAATGGGGCAAAAACAAGAGTATTTGCTATGTGGGGACATTAAAATCTTTTAAGTGCTTGGGACCTTTAAAACTCTTAATTAGAGCCTGACTGCAAGCCCTAAGCTCTTCCACTTTGAATCTCGAAGATTTAATTTATTATCATAATTGTCATAACCTTGTTTCAATGATGTTTGCTTTTTTTGTGGTTAAAATTACATAGCAGATTTATTATTTTTTAAAATATGGATTGTGTGTTTATTATATCATCATTTGTTTTAATTTCATTGTAAAATTTAAGTGCAATATGTACAATTTGATTGTTTTCTGTGAAGATTTAGGAACACTCATGTACTCTTTTCTTATCAATTAATGATAACTGCTTCTTTGCTTTATGCCATTTTAGTTTACTTTAATCAGTGGCTAAAATTCTAACCCATTTAGAGATAATTTCTGCTGCTAAAATAAAATCTAGAACAGCAATGTTTTTCTTACATCCAAAAATGTGTATCTATACCTTTAGTACCTTCTTTCAAAGAAATCATACCAACAATTCTTTAGATATAAAATCTTTGAAAACAATACAGATAAAAATAAGCAGTTCACATATATCTGTTGATTAATTCCGATATTTAGCATTGAAGGGTCAGTTAAGAAATGAATTAGTTTAATTTGAGGTTCATTTTTCCTCTCCTTAAATGCTATTCTTTTGTGATTTAACAATGTCTTAATAAGGATTTTCACAGAAGTAATTTGTAAGTTTTAAAGTCTAAAAGATGCTATTAATATTCTCATTTATTAGTTTTATTACTTTAGAATCATATTCTGACAACTATGAAAAATTTATTAAAATACAAAAATTTTTGACGCAAATATTACAAGTTGGCTGTATGCCAGTGCCGAAGCCTGTCAGCATTTTCAATGACACGAATTCTATGAGATTCTGTAAGTAAGATCCCCTTTTTGAAAAAAAAATATATATATTGACAAATATTTTTTACGATAATCTGTATCAAAATGCTCCTCACATAATCTCTTAACACTAGAAACCCTTTTTTAAATGATATTTTATTTTTAATTATGTACAAGTGGAAACATTTTGTTCATCAAACTGTATGCAGCCCCTGAATACAATTCTAATTTTATATCAAATATTCTCCACCAATTTTTGTCATACAGTCAAAAACTTCGTACAAAATTTTTAAAAAGTATAGGAACCAAAAGAACATGCAAAAAGTCAAATTTTATAATTTGTACAAAATTGCTTTCTTATACAATTAATAATGCTAAAACATTAATCTTTGCAATACTTAAAACACTTTTGTCACTAGAATTATATATGTACAACCACTGGTTGCAAAAAGTAAAGGCTAGATAAGTACTTGTGTGGACATGGTGTATATTTAGCAATAATTTTTATAAATTTTTATTAGTACTTCAGTTTACTGGTTAATGATGTGAAAATTATTATAATTTTAAAATTTTTATTAAATTGTTTCTTCAAGAAATTTTAAATTATCTATGCAATTTTTTTGGCCCACCAGTAGCCAAGTGGTAAAGTTGCTGAACACTGGTAATTTGACTTAAATTTGATTAGAGGCAAATGGGCTGGTTCCATGGGCATTTTTCTGTGAGCAATGTGGGTATGAGCCCTTGGGTTCTTTGCCATAATCAAATAAACCATATTAAATTGTGTGCAATTTCTTATGGATTGAATTATTCTGTACGGATAATAAGATTTAAAATAATTGCTAGAATTAAATCTATGTTTAGATAATTTTTTACGAGAGTATATATTATACATCAAGTAAAATTAAATTTGCAATTATAAGAAAGAGTAGCCCACCAGCGGCCGAGCGGTAAAGTCGCTGAACACTGGTAGTTCGGTCCGAGGTTCGAATCCCGCGAACGGGCTGGCTGCATGGGCGTTTTCGTGGTTTTCCCCATGTGTAATGTGTATACGAGCCAGTTTACCTTAGAAAGTCCTCCACGAAAGGCATCCCTCCCCTTAGGCAGATAGCCCTAGTGTGCTTTGCCATAATTAAATACACCACCACACCACACCTAAGAAAGTGTAGTACATTTCCTTGAAATTAATGGACACAGACATTTAGATAATCTAGTAAAATTTTCAGAAAGAAAAATGACCTATTATTTTTGAAAGGATTTATTGCTTCCTGTTTTGTCACAAAAGCATACAAATGTCATGGCTCATTTATGGATACACACTGCTGCATTAAACTTTCTTGTGCCATTCCTTGTTTTAAAATATACCATACCAAGTTGAAACCTTAACTTATAGGCTAAAAATTTCCAAATGTGTAATAAATATGAAATATAAAGCTATGTAAATAAGTTCATTACTACTAATGTATGTGAAAAAGGCAACATGATGGGAATTTTATGTAAAATAAGCTTATGACTCATACTTAGATGTGGGCAAAAAGCCAACATTATAGGTGTTATTACAATTTTTATCTCTATAAATAAATATACTTCATTTTTTAATACATGAACTATTTTTTGCATATAATTCACCTAAAAATGTAATTCTTTTTAAATTCTATAATAAAAAAAATACAGTTTTTGGATGGTTTCCTCGAATCTATTGAACTAATAAGCAAGATTTAACTGTTACTATTCTTCAAGAAGATTCAAATATAGCCTATAAATATGTGATTTTACTCCAGACATTACATAATGAAATAAACGTGAAGATTTGGCAAGCTATAGTAATCCAGATTCTGTGCAGATATCTGCCAAATGTGAAAGAATTTGTTCTGCTGGAATACAGCATTACTTACACCAGCATAATTGGAAAAGTGACTTGTTCTTAAAGTCTTATGAGCATATTTTGGAGCTATTGAGTATTCATGTGTAATGTATTGATTGTTAAAGCAGAAATGGCAACTGTTGCTAAAGGTTATTTGATATCATTTTATCTTAGAAGTCATTTACGCACTACACTAGTTCCGTCTTGTATGATGATGGTAAAAAGAAATTCAGTTTACTGTGGAAGGCAGATACAAATATTTTGTCATAGGCTGAATAATGGCAGATGTCGCTGCTTGTCAAACAGCAATAGGATAGGAGAACTTAAGACTTGTTGTCGAATGATAAGATCAACATGGTTAGAAGTCACCCTCTGTGCTGTGGAAGCAACATGATTAATGTAAGTAACTTCTATCTTTCTATACATCATTGAACCATTATGATATCTCTATCTCAATTTCAAGGCTCTCACTCATCTGGAAAATCCTGAACAATTAGGTAAATGAAAAGTGGTCAGAGAAAACATGAAAGTTTTCCAAAACATTGGGGAAGTTGGGAAGAGAAGTGAAAATCAATCTTTCCAAATAAAATGTACATATTTTCAGTACTACCCCACTTAAAATGAAAGGAAAATAAGTTAATGTTATCTTTTTTCCCTTTGAAGTATATTATTTACTTTATACCTGATATAATTTTATTTGTAATGCAGTTAAGAAGTTTTACAAGTATGATACATTATCTCAAATAATTATAAATTAAATACTCCGCCCCCCAATCTGAATGTAATAAGCTGTTCAGCTTTATTTTGAAACACGGAAAGAGAAATACCTACTGATGTACTTTTCTCAATTTCTATTATATAATAAAGTTCCTACCTCAGAATTTAAAATTTAAAAAAACTCTACCTACTTCTTTTTGAGTGGTGAGATCATTAGCTTCACGGTAATAAGTAAATTTGGTATATTTGATTATGGCAAAGTACATCAGGGTCCGTATGCTTAAGGGAAAGCATACCTCCATGGAGGACTTTCCAAGGGAAACTGGCTCATACCTATATTACACACGGAGAAAATCACAAAACACCCATGCAACCAGACTGTTCGAACTACCAGTGCTCAACAAAATTACCGTTCAACCACTGGTGGATGCAGTAATAACTAAAATAAGTATTGGATCTTTTCCATTGTAGAACACCAAACAACTGTGTCCAGATACAGGTATTGGAACACAAAAATTTTACCATTGGTTATATAGGTATAGTTCCACCACACTAACTGTTACAGAGTACAAAGTCTGAAATCCGGACACCCAATAGCTGGAATGATCTAAAATCTATACCACTAGCAAACTTTATTTTTTGGGGGTGGGGGGGGTTTGCTTTACGCATGCGCATTTGATATTTTTTTTTATAATAAAACGTGGAAAATTCTAATTCCTAATTTCACTTCAGCATTAAATAAAAGTACGCCATATTAAAGAAACAATTATTTATTAGCGTAAATCTTTAAGATCAATAACTTAAATGCATAGACACTGTTTTGCATGGCATACACCTCAAAATGAAACATTGTTGATTTTTCACCTATTGAATAACTTATATCCCTGACGAACCATTTATTATTTTCTGCTTTCATCACCACACAATTATCAACATAAGGCAGCTTCAGAAATGACCCATGCAGCAGTATCTAAACTTTTTTTTTTTTTTTTTTTTTTACGTACAGTCAAAAGTTTTTAATCCGGACTAGTCGGGACTTCGGCGAGTTTAAATCTGGTAAGATGGCATGCAGAAATTATAAAGTTAAAAATATGAAACCGTAATTTATAAAATAATGAGCAATTATGATCTAAAGGGTATCAAAATTTACAAAAAAAGCTTAATATTTATTTGTTTACTTTATTAAACATTTCTTTCAACGTGCGCATGCGTAAAGCATACATTTCGCATAGCCGAAATTAGAAAATTGCAACCAGAAAACTATTTGATTTGTATTCGTGATATTTATAATGTCGAGGAATTTGATTTAAATCATATCAAAGACGGAGTAAATCGAGATGAAATACTACATTTAGTAAAGAATTATAAGCTGAATAAAATAAAAACATCTGCTCTGAAGATAACGATAGTGTTGACAGATCAACTTCTAGTTCATAGCGTGCCACGACGTTCCCCCTCCCCCCTCCGTGAAATTGATAGACAGATTTCGGAACGGTTAGATAAACAAAGGATATGCCTTATTATCCATTTTTTGCAGCAATTAAACTTTTTGTTTGATGGACATCGAAACATACTGTCGTTTTGTAGATTCTTTGCGAGCTCCAACATCAGAAATTCTATTTGACATAATTGAAAGTTCAAGCTTACTTTTATAAAATTGCTCTTACAGTCTGCAAAAAATAATAAGCCGTATCAATTCGAAGATTAAGGAACAAGGCAATCATTAACATTAACTGAAATAGATAATTAGATAATTTTAGCTTACACCGTCCGTTATACATTAAATGCGCACGCAAAAACGTATTCTGCGCTTGCGCACCACGATATGTGCAGTCGTAAAGGTCTTACGCCCACGCATAAACGCCTATGCGCATGCATCAACTCAGCCGCATGCGCAGAAAGTTTTTAGTTTTGAGGTCCGGATTATGGGTGTCCAAATTAACGACTTTTGACTGTATTAGTTAGCGAATACCAAAGAGCATGTTAAAGTTTTATTTGACATTACACTTGACAACGATTACTGACTTCAGCCAAAGTGTTGACAAGGAGAAATTTAACAGAAATTTCTTTGCATATACGAAAAACAGATTTTGAAAATTACAAAAGATTACATTTTGCATTGTTTAACTTGAAAATAAGCAATTTGTTATTCAGATACGCCTAAGCCTTAAGTACAGTCAAAAGTCGTTAATCCGGACGCGTCGGGACTTCGGCGATTCCGGATTATAGATCATCAGTTTAAATCTCAAAAGATGGCATGCAGGAATTCTAAAATTAAAAATATGAAACCTTAATTTATGAAATAAAGAACAATTATAATCTAAAGGGTATCAAAATTTACAAAAAAAAAAAAAAAAAAGCTTAATATTTGTTTATTTTATTAAACGTTTCTTTCAATGTTAATTGTTTTAAGTTGCTTCGTTTTATGTGATAATACTTTCTCTTTAATTCTATAAACAGACATAATTTCTTGTTCAGTTACAAAGTTCCGCTGTTCAAGTCCCGTTAATTGGTTGTGTCGAGAATACCGACTAACTTGTCAATCGAAATTTTTTCGTTTTCACTAACCTCTCTGTCATATTCTTCATGTCTTTATCCATTTTTTGCAGCAATTTCACTTTTTGTTTGATGGACATCTAAACATACTTTCGTTTTGTACGATCCTTTGGGAGCTCCAGAATCACAAATTCTATTTGACATAATCGAAAGTTCAGGTTTACTTTTATAAAATTGCTCTTACAGTCTGCAAAAAATAATAATCCGGATCTAATTCGAAGATTAAGGAACAACGCAATCATCAGCATTAACTGAAATAGATAATTAGATAATTTTAGAATATGCCGTTCGTTATACATAAAACATGCACGCAAAAACGTATTCTGCGCTTGCGCACACGCATATGCACAGTGGTAAAAGGTCTTACGCGCATGTGTCAACGCGGCGCACGCGCAGAAAGTTTTTAGCTTTGAGGTCCGGATTATGGGTGTCCGAATTAACGACATACATAAGAATATATTTATTCGAGAATAGGATAAGGCTTAAGCATATGTGGGAAATAGACCTTTAAAGCCTAACTTTCTCAGTGTACAATAGAATCAAGAGGAAATTTAGTGAACCACATATTTTTAATCGCCAACAGTGTAAAGTGGACACCAGCTAAGCTTTATGATGATGGCCATGAATTTAAAGGTTTTAGATACTGGAGAAAAAAAGGAAACTTCCAAATTAATAGAATTTGTCAAGAAATGTAGAAAAGTGGTAACTAATGGTGACATAACAGCCATTGTGATGACAATTCTCCAGTCATCAATCAACTAATGGACCGCAAAAGCTGTAGTCTAAAGCCAGAAAATATCACTACTGATATTAAGGAAAGTGACAGAAAGGTTGTTGAGAATGAAAAGATTTTGATTGACAATTTAGCGATAGTTCTCGAGACGGCAATTATAGGATCTGAACAAGAAATTATATCTATAGAATCAAAGTATCAGCACAAAAACATGAAGCATATTAAACAACTTCCATTGAAAGAAATGTTTCATAATGCAAACAAATAAACATTGAGCTTTTCTTTTGTAAATTTTGATTTCCTTAATGTCATAAATGCTTCATGATTTTTAATTTTACAATTTCTACATGCCATCTTACTAGATTTAAACTGATAATCTAATATTCAGAAAAATCCCAAACTACAAATCCCTGAAGTTCCCGAAATGTTGACATTATAAAATATTATTATTTTTTTTTAATGCCAATTCGATGTAAAATACCTCTGTGTTTATACTAGATTTCTCTCATGAGTAATAATAGATGGCCAATTTCTAATCCTGAATTACTGTGAAGTATAGATAAATTTAAATAGATCGACTATTAAAACAAAGGTGGGGAAAAATAAAAAGATGTTTTATATTAATTTTATTAAGTGAAATCCAGTGAAAAGTAATTGGTAGCTTTCAAGGGCAGTACTATCCCATAAGTTCATGGGATTCACCTTTGCTACATAGAAATCGTAAAATTTTTATGCCAATTCTTTGAGCATGTAGAGAAAGAACAGCAAGGAGATGCTTCAAGTTCTAATTTCAATGACTGTGAGTAACTGGATAAAGTTTTTGTTTGACAAACGTGGAACAAATCGCAGAAAACTTCTGATGGATTGTAAGAAATGGCAAATGACTGGAAGAACTGAAGCAGGATAGACACTGGTGCACGTCTGCAAGATCTAAAAAGTAGCCAAAAGCATCATGTCAGACATCCGAAAATAGTTTAAACACAATGGTGATGTATGCAGACAACTATGTCTAAAATGCAGACTAAAAGTCAGAAATGTACAACAACATATTCTCAGGCACCTTATCTTACAATTAGCCCAGAATGCAAGGGAGTTTATAGCAGCTATACAAATTTAAGTATCTAGATATACATGAATAGTAGGCTGAATAAAAGACGATTATATGTAAGGAAACCTATGAGTGTCTCATTATAAACTAAATCTCAAAATGTGTTCAGTTTATAGTAAAGTAAGATATCAACATGAATAGAGTATCTAAATAATTTAATACGCGGCATGGAAAATCACCATAAAACTTGCATTTTTGTCAGGGTTCACTGCACACCTTAATTTTTTCTGTGTGCCTTTAAAAAAGTTGTAACACCAATTATTCTGTGTCCCATTTTATATCATTTTTCTATTCTTAGTTAATCTCTGCTCAGAAACAGCTAAAGACAGAAACAGCTTTTTTAAAGAAAACTATTTTAAACTTCATCTTTTGTATAAAAAAAAGTCATTTTGAAATATGTAATAGTGGTTTTATAATTACTTTTAATTGCCTGTACTGCACATATAATTTTTTTTTTTTTTCTTTTAGTGACTGCACAAAAGTACAACCATCAACAAGAGCTACAGATGATGATTTGGCCAAAAAATTATGGGAAGTCAGTGAAAACTTAGTTTCTGTTTAATATATGCCTTGTTTTATTCAATAGTACAAAAATGAACAATTTTAATAGCCAAAGAATTTGTCATTAAACTGAGAAATCTGTATTTATAATAAATTTATTATTCTTGAAATTCCTAGCTTATAGTACATTTAAATCTTGAACTAATGCACATGAACATACTGTATCAATGTGGCAACACAGATACTAAGAACTCAGTGATAGTGATCTGAAAAGATAAAAAACAAATATTAGAAATAATTGCCAGAAAATATAGAGACAAATATAATAGTTAACAAACAAAGATAAATTATAAAGTAACAATTTATCTCTAAAAGAAATCAATTAGCTGATAATTCTATATATGTAAATGGGGAAACATTATGCCAAATTTTTTACTCTAAGTTAAAATAAAATCATAAAAATTAATCACACTTGGTAATGCTTGTACACTGCCACACAAAAAAAGTTTTATATCTCCTGTTCTACTTGGCTGATTGCCGAAATTTAAACTGTTTTTCATGTCTCAAAAGCGTGACTTAGGATATATATTAGATTTATATATAGCATTGTTCAAATATAGGTATTTTGACACGAAATTGGACTTTTTCTGAAATGACATGCCAATTTTTTTTTTTTCCCTATATTTCGATTCTACGGCTCAAAATATGCCAAACTCCCAAGTTTTGTAAAAGCACACGAGTAGTTTTTAAAAAATCAGCTCTCAAAATTTTAGCTCCTCAATGTTAATTCGATTTGGTATGCATTTAATATCTCTTTTTATGGAACTTATTTGATTCCTTCCAAATAAAATTCACCCATTTTTATGATTTATTTATAAAATTTGTATTTTAAAATAATTTTTATAAATTTTTCGAAAAAATTTTGATTCATAACCTACAAAATTTTTACAATCACCTTAAAGTAGATGTATTTCTAAGCATACCTGCAAAAAATTGGAGCTTTTTATTCAAAATTTCTGAAGCTATACATGAATTTATATATTGGCACGTTTTGAAATTTGGCATATTTGTTGAAAGCAACAATAACGAAAATGTGGTTTATGCACTTTGTTAAAATTATTTGAAAGGAGAAACAATGTGACTTCCCCCCTTCCCTGCTCCTGCACAATGGAAGGAAAGAAAAATAGGTTACCATATATTAACCTTTTCGTGACGGTGCACCTTCGTTTAAGACGCTCATGCGGGATGGAAGGGAATCGAAGGCAGTCACCGTACAGGACGGAGGTTTTGCAATGCTAAGCCTAATTTTATAAAAAAAGTTTCGCTTCTAGCATCGTAATTTTTGGTATCATTTTAGATTATTAGCTCTTATATATGTTAAAATTAGCACTTGATAAAATTTTTTTCTTTATTTCATGAAAATATACTTAAAAAATTGCTTATCTTGTCAAATAATTTTGGAAGCGCTATTCAAATTATTCCAAAGTTTTAATTGATAAAATCCATCAATAAAATTAAAAATTAATAAAACAACACAATAAAGACTATTTACAGTAAGAAGTAACAACATTTAAAATGAAGACTGAGTGTGGTAAATCTTGAAGCACGGAGAAGTATCACTCTCTAACTCTTTAGAAAATGAATCATCACTCTCATCTGCATTAATAAATGGTTCACTGACCATACGAGGGTATTCTTCCTCTGCTAAATAGCGCTTTCCTGCCATAATAGACTGGAGGTGAGGCTTTCGGAAATAAAAAGAGAAGAAACGGAAATATATCTGAAGGCAATGCAAAATGTAACAGTACTCCACATACTAACCCTAAAAGATCGTACATAGTAAAGGAAAAAATAGAATAAAAAAGGAATTGGACATAAATCAGACACGCGAATGTTTTCCTTAGCATGCAGCGATTTAAAGAGCTCACCTCTGTTTACGCTTTTCCCTCCCTCCACCCTCGCAAGAACTGATGAGTAAAATACCAAAGTCAAGCAGAATATGTCAAACTCGAGGTCAGGAACCTAAAATTGTGTTCATTTCAAAAGTATTGGACATAGGATGTCATCTAGTGGCCTTCAGAAAAATGTTCCAGCTTAAAATGAATTTTTAAAATTTTGAATTTCTCCATAAATTTCGCACCAAATTTTACAAAATTTAATATTTAGGCATAATTTGAGTCGCAGAATCGAAATATGGAAATATATTGGTATGTTATTTTAGAAAAAGTCCCATTTTGTGCCAAAATACTTATATCAGAACAAAGCTAATATATATCCTAAAGTCACGCTTTCGAGACATGGAAAACGCAATCAGAATTTCATCAACCGGCCCAGTAGAATGGAAGATATAGAACTATCCTTTTTTTTTTCCTTTTGCGCAGAGTACATCTTATTCATAACATTAAATTTTTTAAAAGCCTTAACAGTATTTTATAGTTATTTTCCATAAAAAGCTGTTAATAATACTTGTTTCATCTAGAAAACTGGCTAAAGCTATTTTGTTTTAAATTAACAAAAATCACTTTGTACAATAATTGTGATGCAGACTAATTACAAGCATTTTCTGAATGTATAATGAAGAGAGCTCCAAAAATACAGTCCACTAAATTATTTTTCAGGATTGCTAGGAGTATTCTGGGTGCCTCAGGGTACATAGTTACATTTATTTCCCCCAGAAGCTGTAAATAATAGGCACCATCCATAGCCAATATCTATGCAAATTTTGAATCCCATTACAATAGAACTTATAGCGATGAAATCTGTAAACTATTCAGCTCAATACCAAAAGCATTATTCTGACTGGAAAAGATGTCAGTCTGTTAGTACAAGATCTACACTATACAAAAGCATGAAACAAAATATCCCAACCAGTAACTTCTAACTGGTCATTTGGAGATACACATGGTCTTATATTCTCATGAAAACTATTAAGAGGCTTCTTGAGAAGTTTATCCATAAAATGTTGCAGTTATTAACAATATAGTACTTTGCATATAAAAATGTTGAAGCACATTAGTAATTATAATTTTTCTCTATACGGAATGTAAAACATTAGTTCCATTCAAAGCATTGAAACAATTTTCATACAAATTCTGTACATGAAAGTGTGCATATGGGATTAATATTTAGGAAGTAAAGTCTCTCTGAATATTTTGTATATGTTATTTTTATCATTAATTGTTTTTGTGTAAAATAGTATAAAACATTTGCTAAATTTTAATTCTGTTTAGCTAGATAGTCCTTATGGCTCAAAAAATCTAGCTCGCACTTTCTCTGAATTAGCAAACAAGTTCACAATTTACAATTCCCAGTTCATCAAAAAAGAAATTGTTTCATCTTCGAATCTACAGCTTTGGTTTTTAACACAAATAAAAGGTATAATTTTATAATACTTTAAGGTAATAAATTTTAAACATTTATTATCATTGAATCATAAAATGGAGGCTCGAGAATTTTAAAAGACTTAAAAATTAGAAATTAAAACAGTCAACTTTCAATTTACCAGGATAATAATAGGGAACAGCTCCTAGTTAAGTCAAAATCAGGACAATCTAAAGTTTGTTTAAAAAAAAAGGGAAAAGAGGAAAAAACCCGTATTATAATTAACAATTGTAATTAACAGAAATATGTAATTTGCTTGTATATTTGTATATTCAACCTTTTTAAACTGTAGAATAAATTCATTTACATAAATGATGGTTTGTGATAGGAATTTTTCCACAAAACAGGATCCAATTAATTGAGAGTCGACTGTACATATCAATATGCGTCTACCTATATATATATATTTTATATTAATTTAATACTCAAATTTACTTACACTGTCTCTCTTGTCTGTGCTTTTCAGCCCAAAAAGCTTTATTTTCAGGAGTATTAACTGGAAGAAAAAAAATACATTTTACATTTAATATACATCTGCCTAATGAAAAACAAACTTCACTATCATTTTTATTAAACTTAAATCATGTTTTTGCATAATATAAAAGTCTAACAGCTACAGAAATTTACTTAAACCCCCTTCCCCCAAAAGGAAATTTTTTAAAACAATACAGTATGCTGAATGTTCCACATTGTTTTAACAATAAATACATTTAGTAGCATCATTTCAAAAATGTACTTAACTACTGTGGCTGATTATTTATTTTATAATTTCCCAATTTTTTCTTTAAACATCAAAAGTGTCTTTAGTAGACTGAAATGCTAGACTATTACGATATATTGCACTAAATCTGTGCAACTTGGTAAGTGTTATTTTGTAAAACATAAGATCTTTAATTTATCTTCCATATAGTCACAACCACTTGCCAAGCTAAAAAATCAGGTGAATTTCTTTCACTAATAAAAGTAATTTTTAAATGGTAAAAATATACAAGAATTTTTTTTTAAATTACAAACTGTACATACTGTCTAATTAATATCTGAAATGGCATTTTTTTAAGTTTTATGTAGGATTAGTATAAAAATACTTGTGTAATAAAAATATTTTTATTTGAAATCTTTTATAGGAAAAAGAGTAGTTTAATCCATTTTCATACAGTCGTTAACGACAGTAACAAATTTTGCTTTCTATACAAAGAATTATAATTTTGCCTTTACAAATTTTCACTATTTTTGCTAATAAATGCATACATGATCGTTTTTATTTCCATACTGCACAATCGTTTGAATTGTTTCAGTTTTTCTACCATTTTAAAAATATTTTCCAAGATAGTAATAAAAATCAACTAATTCACCTATAGTTATTGGTAAAGAAGCTACATCTTTTTCAGCTGCTGTATTTAAAAGATGATAGGTACACTCCATAATCTGTAAATGATTTTTTCCCCCAAGATATGCCTACAAGACCAGTCTTCAAGCCTATCATTACTGGAGCCTTGAATCAAATCATTGCAAAAAAGAGCTAAATAGTTATCTAGAGGGACTCCCATTTTCCTTAAAGTTTTAATAATTAACTGAACTATATAAGCCTGTCGAATCTTCTTCTAAAGTGCGAATGATAAGAATTTCAGAAGCCATGGAATTACATTTTAAAGTAACAATTAGAATTTTAAAGTAACAATTAGATATAGTTTTGCATCAGTATTACTACTTCCATATGTAGAAAGGCTGAAAAGAGCTGCTTTAATGCAACTAAAGATATATATATTTCATACCCATTTCTTTAATAACTGCAGACATTTTTGTTCTTGCACGTGAATACTTCTTAGTGATTTTGCTATCAAGAAAAATTTTTAAAAATAATATTACAAAGTTATCAGAGGCATTTAAAGCCAGATTTTTCTCAAATAAAAAGGCAGAAAATAGGCATTCTGTATTAATAACTTTTTGGTACTTTGCTTCTACAGAAAATTTAATTGTTTTCAATACTGCTTTTGTGTACATACATTTTGTACATAGATCCTTCCACCATACAAAATAAAAAATCACAGTGCTAAACAGTATACAGTGCAAGTGCATTAAAATTTTTCTTGATGAAATAATACAACTAAAGTCATATGCCTACTTTTTTTTTTTTTTTTTTTTTTTGGAAAGCACATGAGTATTTTACTTTTTTCAGCAAACCTAACAAAGACAAATGATTGCAAATTCATAAACAACTTCAACAAGCATGCAAACTTCATTCCGGTTATAGACTCCAGAAATGCAGGGGACTGTTTTGATCTTGCTTTGCACTTACTGGCTGATGAGCACCAGATGAAGAGAAGCTCTACTTTGTGATCATTGAAGAAATGGCATTTTCAGACACATCTACTCCCAAATGCTAGTGGTTGATTGAAATGTTCTTCTTTTCATATTTTTTTTTAAAGAATGTACAATTAAAAGAAAAAGCAAACAATTTCAAATGCTCGAAATTGTACGTATGGGTCAAAGTAATAAAATATGCCAAACAAAAATCATGAGAAAATTTTAGGAAAAAGAAAATGCTGGGAAAAATATGCTGTTTACAACAGTGGTGTCAAACTCAAATTGCAACCGAATGCATAATCTGAAAACAGCTGATGGGCTAGAATATTTTTTTAACAAAATTTTAAAACATTTTTAACACAAAAATATAATTAATTCTAATTACTGAATATTTATCAAAATATACATGTACAATCATGATTATAACACAAAGGAAAAATTTTAATTTATATACATTTTCTATCTGAAGTCTACCTGCAAGAAATTTCTGTTGGTTCTATTCTTTATAATTCAAATGCACTGATTATTAAATATTAAACTGATTATTTTAGGGAATCCAGTATGTTGAATTAACCACTACATAACTTGTTTTCAACCTTAATCTGAAATATCAAATTACTGAAATTGCAGAGCTGTTGGCTGGCAAATTAAATTTACTGACTGTACCAATGTGGGAAATTCTCCGAGATTACCCTAGTCACACGACCTGACATACAAGCATATAATGACAAAGACCCAACCTATTTATTCTTTTCCCCTTCAACAGTAGTCAATCACAAAACTTCAGTCCATATCTTTACGTCTCTAAAACAATAAGCACTGTATCTGAAACAAACAGAAAATTTAAATGTCTTCGGGAGCCACATATAATTGCTTCGGGGCTACACATAGCCTGCAAGTTTGAAACCACTGGTTTACAACTCAGGTTTGCAGAAATGCAGCCAAAAATCGGTAAAGTGTGCAAGTCTGCATATATATTCTAATATTAATTATTCTTCAAATTGCAACTGTTTAACAGATTGTGTGATTTTTAAAGAAATAAATAAATTTAATAATTTAAATCTATAACATATCCAGTTGATAATTTATATGAAAATTTAAGCATTAAGTACTTATATACTTTCTGAATTAAAAATTGTTGCCAAATAATGTGATTTAGTGCCAGTACTGAATAACTATCTCATTGCAACACTTTCCTAAGAACTATGCCTTCATTTTATGTAATCAAAATAATTCTCAATATATCAGTTTAGTTTTTGTAAAGAAATATCTAAGCTAACTGCCATTTCTGCATATATGGTCTAAGTGTGCCTCAAGTATATCAGCACATTTTAACCTGATTACAGGAGAACCATGGCTTTATTTTATTACAAAGTCGCTGCTCATGTTTGAGGAAAAACTATTTACGTGTACACATAGGAACAGTGGGCTCATGACAAATAGATGAAGTGACAAAATCATAATGACACCTAAAAGGATAGATATCTTGCATATATAGCATGTATAGATATTACAGCCATTAGATTAGCTGGGCTGCATCCCAACATCTGGGAAATTGCTGGTCAGATGAACGAATGCCTTACTTACCCCATTCTCAACTAACAAGACGGCACTGTTATGGTTCACTGCTAGTCAGAAGAGCATTCTCATGACTAGGGGCAGTTTTCTTTTCATATGGGAGCTGCGCCACCCAATAGTGGATCCATCACCTGCTTCCTTTCTGAGGATACACAGCTATCCTTCAACCACACCAAGGTCAATCTTCAGAGGGGTTTACATATATATACATGTATACCCATATCATGCACCTTAAGCCAGGAATTAAGATATCTGGCACAACAACCAATATCTGTATGCATGGTATGACATTGTTTACAATACCTGCAAGGCAGCCATTCTTCACTTACTATTCAATAATAACACTTGAAGCTACAGTAGTAAGCTAAATGATATGCATGAATTGATAAATGACCATCTTTACAGATAAGTCCTATTTTGCATGCAGCACTAAGGGACTAATTGTTGAAATATTGCAGTATGTACAGCAGTCATGACACAGTTTTAATACTTGGAATTTAAGATACAGGATATCACTAGATAAAAGTTCTATCCCCATTTAGTGTATTATCATGTATTTTGACCAGCCAGCTTTCACAGCTCCTAACTGTAAGCATCTAGTTGTCCCATACTTTCAAGACCATTATGGAATCACCTAATAAGGCATGTACATTGCGGAAAAAAAAAAGGGGGGGGACAGTTCTATATCTTCCACTCTAATCGGCCGATTGACAAAATTCAAATTGCGTTTTTCATGTATCGAAAGCATGACTTAGGATATATATTAGATTTATATATAGCATTGTTCTAATATAGGTATTTTGACATAAACTTCTTAATTTATAGCAACCTATTTTCCTTTTTTTCATTGAAAACGAGCAGGGAAAAAAAATCGTTCAAATTTTCAAATAATTTTAATAAACCGCATAAACCACATTTGGCATTATTATTGCTTTATAACAAATATGGCAAGTTTCAAAATGCGCCAATATGTAAATTCATATATATCTTAGAAAAGTTTCAATTAAATAAATCCAATTTTTTTTTTCAGGTGTGCCTAGAAATACTTTAAGACAATGTTAAAAATTTTATAATTCAAAAAATTTTTTCGAAAAATTTATAAAAATTATTTAAAATTACAAATTTAAAAAAATAAACCATAAAAAATGGGCAAGTTTTATTTGGAATGAACCTAAATTTTGAAATGTGAAATAACTATCTCATTGCAACACTTTCCTAAGAACTATGCCTTCATTTTATGTAATCAAAATAATTCTCAATATATCAGTTTAGTTTTTGTAAAGAAATATCTAAGCTAACTGCCATTTCTGCATATATGGTCTAAGTGTGCCTCAAGTATATCAGCACATTTTAACCTGATTACAGGAGAACCATGGCTTTATTTTATTACAAAGTCGCTGCTCATGTTGAGGAAAAACTATTTACGTGTACACATAGGAACAGTGGGCTCATGACAAATAGATGAAGTGACAAAATCATAATGACACCTAAAAGGAAGAATGAAAGGAAGAATCAAATTTAATATAAAAAGAGATATTAACAAATATATAACAAATTCAATTAACATTCAGGAGCTAATTTTTTAAAAACTACTTGTGCGATTTTTACAAAACT